GTTTTCTATGCTTTTTAAGAAATACTAGCACCCAATATAGAATTTTACACATAGCAGAATATTTGGAGTAAAAACATTAATGTCACAAATATAACAGCTTCTTATAATTAAATCCCAGCAGAAAAAAATACACATTTAAATCTAGTTTCAAGTCTCACAAGAATTGAAAGAGAGATCTAAGCAACTTCCACTTTCAAAGTTGTCAGTTTATTAAAATCTGAAGAAATAACTCAAAGAATAATTCAAAAATTTTTGTTCATAATACAAAAACCGAGTTTAATGAAAAATCTGCCACTCAGGGCTGGGAATATAGCTCTGTGGTAGAGCACCTGTCTAGTATGTGTTGGGCCCTGGGTTCAGTCCCCAGTCACAGAAATACAAGTGCCACTCACAGTTAGTACCACATTTGATCTCTGAACTCTTCACCAGGGTTGTGGCCAATAAAGGGAACAACATTTGAAGTATGATGGTTATTTTCCACTTTAAGCCCTATCAAAGCATTTGCATCCTTCTATGGATTGCTTAATTTGGAGATATGGTCAAAGGTCTGAACAGGGGCTCTGAATAAATGCAAAGCCTGAGATGATGGCCTTCCACCAGCCTCACGCCATTATGGGCCCCATTCAGTCTATACTTCTGGCCCCGTGCCATCCTTGTCAGCAGGATAAGAGGGAAATGGCCTGCTACTGCCCAATGTATTCTGTCAATCATTCATGGAAAAATGTCTCCTCTGTGCCTGGGGCTATACCAGGGGCTGCACATAGAAAAAGAAACAAAAACAGATACAGTCCCTGAACTCACACCTCAGTCTGGAGGGAAGCACAGGGGATGAATAAATAAATGATGACAGGGGAATGCTGTGGAGGAGTGAAAACAAAACATGAGGAATGAAAGCAGGGGGCAGTGGAGGGTAGAACTCACCTTCAGGTGGGGTGTCAGAGCCCTGTGAGCAGAAGACATTTATTATGCTAGGTCATTAACATTGCAAAGGTGCCTAGGAAGGGTGAAAAAGAAGAAAAGCATCCCTGCTGGGGGGTGGGGGGGACAGCATGTGTCCAGGACTCTAGGCAGGAGAGGCTCAGACACTGCAGGGAGCAGCTGAGGCAATGGTAGCAGGGGCCTAGGAGTCTTCCTGAGTGACGCTTTCTACTGAGTGCATGTCAACAGTGACCTTGGAGGCTGTGCAGCATGGCGGCCCTGGCAGGAGGTGTGGCTTTGCCAAGATGCTGCAGGACCTTCAGAGACCTGATAAGGGGTTTGTGGTGTGACCAGTTCGGTTGTTATAGAACCAATGTGCTCTACAGGAAGTCTAAGGAGACTTAAACAAAGCTTAGACTTTCATCAAGCAGTGTGAGTCAGGAAGTGGGGTAGATGGTATCTGGGGTTCCTTCCACTTTGGGGATCCAGGAATTTTCATACATTCAAGGAAGAAACCTTTCTTAGAAATGCTCTGGTATTGAAAAACTCTGAAGAAATTAAGATATCCACATTCCCAACACATTAGACTATTAATACAAGAGAGATTTCATCCAGACTGAAGAGAATTAATGGAAAGTTTGAAAGGTTGCAACAGTAATTGAACAAATTAGATGTAGAATCTTAACATGCTTGGTCTTGGGAGAATAGCTGAAAGTCATCCTGGCCAGAAACCTTCTTATAAGATGAATCAAAGCTCTCCGGGGAATTCCACATGGCAGTTTTGTGAGCCAAACATTTCCAGTGTGAAGAGGCCAGGTGAGGTGGCTGCTTCTGATGTGAACACTACAGCAGACTCTATGCCAACCACAGGGACATGCAGGGTGCCCTCAACTGGGTGGCCAAGTCTTACGTGCACCAGGCCTACAAGCTGTTCTGGGAACCCTAAGACAGGTGACAATAGTTGCAGGATGGAAAGGGGAAGACAGAAGCAAGAAAGCTGTTGAAGGGACGAGGATGAAGGGAGAAGAGCCACAGCTAGAGACGTGGCCTGATGAAGGCCATCTTGGCAGAGAACCTCCTCCTTCCCCAAATATAGCACTTCAAAAAGAAATATTAAAAATGTTTCAGAAAACTAGAGGCATAGCTCAGGTGCAGGGCAATGCCTAGCATTCCCAACCTCCCAGGTTTGATCCCTAGAACCACAGGAAAATTAAAACATTATGGAACATGAAGGAATTTTTATTCATTTTTCCATTTTGTCAGTGAAAGGTGGCGGTGGTAGTGTGTGTGTGTGTGTGTGTGTGTGTGTGTGTCTGTTTGGTGCTGGTGGTCTATAAGGAAGGGTAGCTGTTTATTTACGACTCTCCAAGGAAAGAGCTCCTATAATTGTGTGTGTGTTTGTGTGTGTGTGTGTATTTTTTTGTCTTTTTGGTTGTGAGCCTTTAACAGCTGTGCCAGCTCTCCAGCCCTATATATGTTTTCTTATAAAAAAACACAATTACTAAAGAATTAGAGAATCATATACTACTATTCAAAGATGTATATTTCCAGACAGAACCTATAAAACTAGGTCAGTAGTAATTCAGGTATGAATGTTTCAAATGTGGAACAATGCAAATTGTCAATAATACTAGGTCAAATGTGGCTGGAAAGTAGTTAGCTTGCTAATAGCAATTCAGCTATTACTAAGCTTTTCACTGTTTGGAAAGATAATTTGATTGCATATCTTCAAAACCAAAATAATCTGAATATGAAATGCATTTTTGCAGGAATTATTCCTTTGCTCTTCTTTTTTCTTCTTCTACCCAATTTCCACAAATCTGTGGTAGAGATAACCTTTTTTTTTCTTTTAAACACGCTATATTTCTTGATACACACACACAGAAATATAACAAATACTGAGATAGTTATAGTGTGCTATTGATATCAGTTCATTAGAATTATAGGGCAGAAGGCACAGATCCAATCTAATAAGAACAGTTTTATACCTCTGTATCTTAGTTTCTCTGACAGGAGAAATTGCATGCAAAATAGAACCAAATGGGAGCGGGTTTCAATAGGGACCCATATGAAAGGCTCCAGGTCTTGGAGGACTGAAAGGATCTTACTGAAGTTTGTCCCACTGTGTGAACTCCATGGTGGCCTCAGACACAGTTCTAGTTTTCTAAATCTTAAATCTAAAGAAATATTTGAGAGATAAAAAACTGAGGATTTCTTGTAAATCAAATGGCAAACAACCAGCCATTTCCTTACAGAAGAATATTTTAAGTTTAGCTCTTTGATTCAGAATTGGAAATGATGCTAAAATGAGTTTCTGGAAAAAATTTAAACTATAAACTGTCATATTCTATCCCACTTAATGTGAAGGAACAGAGTCTCTAGGACAAACTTCATTATCATAAAAAGGGTAAAAATATTATTTCTGTTTCTAAAGAATAAATGATTTTTAAAAAAATACCCCGAAACCACGTTCAGATTTTCAAAAGATATATTGCACATGGTACTCTTCTGGCTATCACTCAACCTTAAAGGAGGTTGACTGTTTCTTTTCCTGAACTCTCCTACTAAAAATTGGATTTTATATCCAGTGATTTAGAAGTGGCAGCTGAGCCTCAAATTCACCTTTGCACATCTTGGCAGAGGAGTCCCTCAGTGATAGTGCACAACCTCCGTGTCTTGGGAGAGGTGTGCCTCCGTGACAGTTGACGAAACAGCAATGTGAAAGGCAAGATGGCAGCACAGACAGCAGTGCAGATGTGTGCAGGCCACAGACCCCAGTGGAGATGTGTGCAGGCCACAGACCCCAATGCAGATGTGTGCAGGCCACAGACCCCAGTG